AGTCAGAAGCAACCAGGTTATGACATATGCGCTTGGGGCATGTTGGTGAAAAATCCTTGAAATTGTTGATATATCAAGGATTATTGAAGGGTGCTCGGGCTTGCAAATTAGCTTTTTGTGAGCATTGCATCAAAGGGAAGAAGACGAGGGTGAAATTTGGAACAATAATCCATGATACTAAAGGTATTTTGGATTATGTTCATTCAGATGTATGGGGGCCTTCTAAGACAACTTCATTGGGAGGAACATATTATTATGTCACCTTTGTTGATGATTTTTCCCGAAGAGTTTGGGTGTATACAATGACGATAAAGGATGAGGTGCTAGGATTTTTCCTTAAATGGAAAAAGATGGTGGAGACTCAAACAGGAAGAAAAATCAAACGTCTCCGTACAGACAATGGTGGAGAGTACAAAAATGATTCAATTATGAAAGTCTGTGAAGAAGAATGTATTGTCAGGCACTTCACTGTCAGATCTACACCACAACAGAATGGGGTGGCAGAGTGTATGAACCGAACATTAGTGGAGAAGGTTCAGTGTATGTTGTCTAATGCTGGGTTAGGCAAAGAATTTTGGGATGAGGCTTTGGTCTATTCTTGTCACATTGTCAACCGCTTACCATCGACTGCTATTAGTGGTAAAACACCATTAGAGAAATGGTTTGGAGTACCTGCTACAGATTATGATTCCTTACATGTGTTTGGTTCCACTACATACTACCATGTTAAGGAGTCAAAGTTGGATCCAAGAGCAAAGAATGTGATCTTTATGGGGATCACCTCTGGTGTGAAAGGCTATCGTCTTTGGTGTCCAGAAACAAAGAAAATAATCTTCAGTAGGGATGTTACCTTTGATGAATATACCATGTTGAGAAAGGTGACTTCAGAAAAATTGGAGCAGACAGATAGAACTCCCAAACAGATGGAGTTTGAAGGAAGCAGAATTGACCCAACCAGTAAAGAAACTGATGTTGACTCTCCTATGGTAGAAGAAGAGTCAGATGAAGAAGAGGTTCAGACCCAAGAACCTCCACAACAACATGAATCAATTGCACTCAGAAATGAAAGGAGGACCATTAGACAACCTGCTCGTTATGCTGATATGGTCTCTTTTGCATCACCAATTGCAATTGATGACGTTCCTGCCACTTTTAATGAAGCAGTCCAAAGTTCAGAACATAAAAAGTGTAGGATCGCCATGAATGAAGAAATGCAATCCCTTCAAAAGAATCAGACGTGGAAACTAGCTAGTATTCCGAAGGGAAAGAAGACAATTGGGTGCAATTGGGTATATGCAAAGAAAGATGTATTTCCTGACAAGAATAACATCTGCTACAAAGCAAGATTGGTGGCTAAAGGCTATGCTCAAACGGATGGAGTTGATTATGATGAAGTATTTTCTCCAGTTGTAAAACATTCCTCCATCAGAATTTTGTTAGCTTTAGTAGTGCAGTTGGATTTGGAACTAGTTCAGATGGATGTAAAAACTGCATTTTTACATGGAGACTTGGATGAGGAAATCTACATGACTCAGCCAGATGGATTCAAAGTTACTGAAAAAGAAAAGATGGTGTACAAATTAGAAAAATCGTTGTATGGTTTGAAGCAATCTCCAAGGCAGTGGTACAAGCGATTTGACAAGTTTATGATAGAGCAGAAGTACATAAGAAGCAAATATGATCATTATGTATATTTACGCAAGCTACAAGACGGATCCTATATATATCTTCTTCTTTATGTTGATGATATGCTGATAGCTTCCAGGAGTCAGACAAAAATTGCGAAACTAAAGACTCAATTGAACAGAGAGTTTGAGATGAAGGGTATTGGTGAAGCGAAGAAGATTCTAGGCATTGAGATATCAAGGGATAAGAAATTGGGGAGGCTTTGTTTGTCTAAGAAATAATATCTGAGGAATGTACTAAAACGTTTTGGCATGAATGAGAAGTCAAAACCAGTTAGTACACCTCTTGCTCCTCATTTCAAGCTCGGTGCATCCATGTCACCTAAGGATGATGTAGAACGGGAATACATATCAAAGGTTCCGTATGCAAGTACTGTTGGTAGCTTGATGTATGCAATGGTGTGTACGAGACCCGATATTTCACAGGCAGTTGGGGTTGTGAGCAGGTATATGCATGATCCTGGAAAGGAGCATTGGAAAGCTATGAAATGGATTTTGCGGTATATTCTGAACACCGTAGATGTTGGTTTGGTCTTTCAGCAGGACAAACAAGATGGTCAGTGTGTAGTTGGGTATTGTGATTCAGACTATGCATGTGATTTGGACAAGCGTCGATCAACTACTGGTTATGTGTTTACATTTGCAAAGGAACCAATCAGTTGTAAGTCCACCTTACAGTTAACAGTGGCTTTGTCTACTACAGAGGCAGAATATATGGCAGTTACAGAGGCTGTGAAGGAGGCAATTTGGCTTCAAGGGTTGCTTGGTGAATTGGGAATGGAACAGAAGCACATCAAAGTGCATTGTGAAAGTCAGAGTGCTATTCATTTAGCAAAGAACCAGGTTTACCATGCAAGGATGAAGCACATCGATGTTCGATATCACTTTGTACGAGATATTCTAGAAGAAGGTGGAGTCATAATCCAGAAGATTCGGACCACTGAGAATCCTGCTGATATGTTGACAAAAGTGGTAACTGCGATCAAGTTTAAACATTGTTTAGACTTGGTCAATATTGTTACAAATTGAAAGATGAATTTGCATACACTATTGAAGATTGGATTTTTTTAGAGATGTGTGTGGAATTTGCCAAGGTGGAGATTTGTTGGTTTTTTGGCATTGGTTGTGTATAAGGATGAGGGGAAATTCTTTTGTTATAAATAGAGCCCTCCTCATCCTTAGTTAAGCATCCCACAAATATAAGCATTCTTCTATATTAAAGGCTATTTGTACTCTTTCTCTCTCTTTGTAATATTTCCTCTATTAGTGAAATATTATTTTAGTAGTGTTCGAGGAGGTAGGTATAATTTTGGTCTAAGCTCGTTAAATTTTGGTGTTCTCTTTTATGTCTATTTAATAGCTATTATCGGGTATAGTTGTTGTTAATTATTGTTCTATTAAAATTACTTGTATTGATAGTTCTATCTAAGGAAAGTGGGTTTTAAGAGGGACCATTGTGACCCCTCCTCTTTCCTGGGAATCTACCTTGGGGTGATTTTTAGTACAATCGTTTTCACACTAGTCACCTAGATAATAGTTTTCAAGGTGAATTTGTTATTATTGGTGGAAATTAACCTGAATTCCACAACAAGTTCACTATGCCTCTAATTTTTTATATACAATGTTTAAATTAGGTTATAACCTCAGAATATTTCTATGTATAATTAAACTTAATCTTTCAAGTTATCGTAACGATAATAATATCAATCGAATTAAAAATTCAGTGAGTTTTTTTTTATTTTGTTTAAATATATATTTTCTTTAAAATATTAAAAATATTAGGTTTATTATACAAATTGATAAATAAATTTGATAACTTGTCTCAAATTGATACCTAAATTTTGTTTGTCTCACATTAATAGGAATTGCAACAGGGTGGGGTGATCTAGATTTTGTCTCGAAGAATTACAATCTCAACTCCGACTCGCCTTGGATAATAGTAGTTTTACACTCGTACCCCGAAAGAAAGACAATGTCTACCCAACCTTGCCCCTCCCCGAATAATAGTGGTGTTGTACACGTCCAAAACCCGCTTATTCGGATTCGGATTCGGTCTAAGCCTGTCTTGATCCGAATAATTAAAACACAAAACAACATAATCGAACAAAACTTGTAGCAACTGAAACAAGAAGCCAAAGTCAAGATGGGAATGCTGGATCAATCAAAACAAGACAGATGCAGTCATCAAAGAGAACACCACCAAAAGCAAACCAAGGCATAGCAACAAGAGTGAAAGGAAACCACAAACTAGCACTCGAGAAAATAAATTCTCTCAATAAGTCATTCACAAAATCAGCAAAATATGGAACTTTAAAGTCTGTCGTTAGGGTTTGAAAACCCTCACTCTTCCATTAGAAAAATTTCCATTAACAAAGAATAAAAATAATACGCACGAAAGGAATTGTTGTTATCCTTAAAGGGTTCAGGTTCGAGTACGATGTTTATAGGGATATTTAAACATTTATTGTAAAATGATTGAAAGTATTTCAAACATATATTATATTGTAAACACTTTATACTAATAAAAATTACAAAAAATAAAAAAAAATCTTAAATAATAAATGAAAATATGTAAGGAGGTTAATACATAAAAATGGTAAATTAAAGAAAGAATAGAGTAAAATATGAATATTGGATGCTTTAGAATTGGGGAGAAGAATATAGGACGGAGAAGAAGATGGTTTAGAAAATTTTAATTTATATAGAAATATGATGTAAAAAATAAATGTGACGTGTACTCATTTAATTGGTTAGAGATCATGGAAAAGAAACTGAAAAGGAGAAATTATTTTATGGTCGCGGCTTACTACGTCATTCATAATCACAATAAATCACATCTATCAATTTTAAAATAATTGATCACTCTTTATTTACCTGTAGGAAAGAGGTGAAAATTCACTTTAAAAAAAATGAGATAGAAAAATGTTATTGTTGGGACCACGAATGATATACCGAGACATCTAATAATTTTTCACCGAAAAAGGTTATGAAGTAATTTCACATTATCATTTTATGTTTTTTTAAAAAATTGCATTATCATTTTACTGTTTAATGTCATGTCTACAACCTGAATAGTTGTTAAGATGGCAACTCAACACCAATACCGATCTCTAAACTCTTTTTAAACTTAGGTATTAATTTGAGAAAAGTAGTATAATTGGAGTGCCAATTTATATAATAAGCCAAAACTTTATTCACAGTGATGGCCATTTTCTTCCACCTTTAACACAGTCATATTGAACCCTTGTTGTTTTCTTTCTCTCCCTCTTTTAATCTATAAAAACAAATCAATCAAACCCCAAACTGTTCATAATTTTCATTCCTTGGAGAGAGAGAGAGAGAGAGAGAGAGACCTTGTTTTCCCCATCCATGGCTGACAACCCTGACCCTTTTTCATCAGGTTGGTTCAACTTCAACCCTCATCTTCAACAAAACCCTAATCCTAACTCCATAAACTCCCATTCAAACAAAACCACCAATTTCAACCCTTTTCTTCTCTACCATCAATCATCGTCATCATCTTTACACCCTCCTTCCCCATCCATTAGAGAAGCTCTGCCACTGTTGAGCTTAAGTCCCACAAACCAAGAGGAACAAGACGATGATGAAGACCAACGGCAGCCATATTCACGCTCTTCCATGGATGATGAAGAAACCGTCACCGTTGCACTTCATATAGGGTTACCGAGCCCTAGCGCTTCGGAGTTGGCTTCGGTTTTATCGTCTTCGGCGGAGTGTACCGACAAAGACGATGAATTACCGGCTAATAGACTCAACAAAGGACAGTACTGGATCCCTACCCCTTCTCAGATTCTTATAGGCCCTTCACAATTCTCTTGCCCCGTTTGCTTCAAAACTTTCAACCGATACAACAACATGCAGGTAACATGAATCAAGGGTTTTTCAAATATTTTCTTCAACTTTCAACATAATCGACCACAAAATTTAACCTACATAAACAATTATATACTGATGGACCGAAGGGGACTGATGGAGGCGATCTTACGTTCCTGAATTTCTTTTGTTGCTCAGATGCATATGTGGGGGCATGGATCTCAGTACAGGAAAGGTCCAGAATCACTAAGGGGAATTCAACCAACAGCAATGCTAAAGCTGCCATGCTACTGTTGTGCACCGGGTTGCCGGAACAACGTCGACCATCCTCGGACGAAGCCGCTAAAAGATTTCAGAACTCTGCAAACGCATTACAAGAGGAAACATGGGATAAAGCCGTTTATGTGCAGGAAATGTGGGAAGGCGTTTGCGGTGAGAGGGGACTGGAGAACGCATGAGAAGAACTGTGGGAAGCTTTGGTATTGCATCTGTGGGTCGGATTTCAAGCACAAGAGATCTTTGAAAGATCACGTTAAAGGGTTTGGGAACGGTCATCAAGCTTATGGGGTTGATGATTTGGATGAAGAAGATGAGCCTGCGTCTGAAGTTGATGAACAAGAATCCATGCACTGATTCCATTGTTAGGCTAAGTTTCTTGTAAATCCATTTCCTTTTTCAAACCGCTGATTTGATTCCGTAATTAGAGAAGCTGAAACTATGGACAGTTGTTGCAAAAGTGGATTATTGATGCATTACACCATATAATTAGCGCATGCTCATTGAAAATAATACTATCTTAAATTATATACGCATTTAATCTCTACACTTTAATTAATTAAAAACTCAAACACTTAACACCATTAAAATAATTTGTTAAAAAAACAGTTCTCATTATGAAACCGAGCTGATTTTTTAATGACAATTAAAGGAAAATAACCTTTTATAATCATAATTTTACTTTTTAATAGATGCAAGACTTCAAATTTTAGATTTTTAAAAAATAAAATTTATATCAATACACTGTCACAATTTTCTAACCTCGTTAATGATTTAAATTAAAACATAAATTGATAATTATAGGAGGATTGAAATATGTTCAATTAAATAAATTATAAGAAAAAACTCCAAGTGGGATATAGATCTTCAAAACATGATTTAACAATTACAGAGGATTAAAATATGTTAAATTAAATAAATTATAAGAAATAATCTCCAAGTTAATATAAATCTTCAAAATATAGTTCACAAATGAAAGCATATATATTAGAGGGTTGGATATAATTACATGGTAAATATTTTACATCTTTTTAAAATAATTGAAACTGGGGAAATTAAAAATTGAGATTAATAGTAAGAAATTGAAAGATATTCACTTAGAAAAAAAAAAAAAATCTCAGCTATTGATTTTATCTTATCTAACGATCATCAAAGAGCGTAAAATTTTTAATTTTACACTATGTGTAAGTGAATCTTGGTCTTATATTAAAATTTTCAATAAGTGAAAAATGGATGATTGAGATTAACAGTAATAAATAAATAAAATTTTCTTAAAAAAAAGAAGTGAGATATATTTTTAAATAGTTTAGAGTAATTATAAAATATATACATATTTATAAAAAAAATATTACTTTTTAGAATTCAAATAATGTGGGTGCAAAATGCATGTTCATTGTCTGTTTATAATGATGTTCACTGAAAACTAGTACTGTTTCCTCAGACTTCAAACTCTTACGATTAATTAAGGAAGTTGATGAAACATCTACCATATTTATGGAGGATCCGTCACATCACATGTCATAGTTTAGATTCTTGAAAAGATTGTTTCGGATATTACCCATTGTCCGGAATTAATTAATATGTTGGTTAACACACTAAATTAAACATACAAAACAAAATCTTATATACTGTAATTAGATTAGTTTTTTCTTAATAGTGTGAAGTAATTATAAATTAATATATGTTTAAAATTATTAACACATATATCATACAGAAATAATTGCTTAAATTCAAATTTTTTGAACAAAATAATAATTTTATTTATTATTGAGGCCAGTTAATGAATTAATGAATTTACAAGCGAATATAATAGAGAGGATAGGGTTTCCCGCAGCAAATAAATTACTACAGTACATATAAACACTAACTAAACTGTAGCATGAAACGACATTTCAATCCCATTTATCCTTTCCTGTTCTGTCACCAAAAAAGCTTTTGAAGAAACTGAGTGCTGGAATTTGCTGTTTATATAACAGTGAAGGCGACAGACAATATCCCATTACAAAATAATATGATTTAAAGGGTTTTTTTCTTCTTTCTGGACAACGTATAATTAATAGATAAACCTCACTCCATGAAAGCAACAACACAGAGCTTTAGTATTCACCTGTAACGTGTAGGCTGTGGTTTACTTTACATAACAATCATAACACAACCAACAGTATTGACCGATTCGCATTTATTTTCACATTTATCAACATTCGCTTTGCTGGCCAGACAAGTTCGTATTGGGGCCATTGTTCTTCCCTCTAGCTTTCCTCTTTTTTCTTTTTTCAATCCATACCTTTCAGTATTTCACTGTTGCCTCTTTTGTTTCTCCTTTGATTTTTTTTGGGGTAAACTTCGTATTTAGTATTTAGAATATTAATTTTTATTCGTTTTAATACTTAGACTTTTAATTTTTTTTCAAAATCATACCTAACGTTTAGTTTTTGTTTTAATTGAGTATCCACCGTTAAAAACTTAATCCGTTTAGTACCTAAACTTTTTTTTTCAAAATTTAATGTTAACGGGGTACTAAAATGAAATAAAAATTATACTTTAGGCATAGTTTTAAAAAAATTAAAAATTTAGATACTAAAACGAACAATTTAAGTACAAAACACATAATTTACCTTATTTTTTTTCTACATTCTGCAATATTACTTGAAAATGACTATTTATACTGTGTCATTGTATATAACTTTATGTATCATCGATGAATCAAATGATAATATACTTTTAAAAAATAAAGATATTTAGTGATAGATGAAGTATTGAAACCCACAAGTTTTTGAATTATTCAGGTTTCAGCACATTTTAAAATTTTAACATTCTATTTTATCATTAAGATTGTTCGATAGATTCATGCATGTAAATTGTTAAATACATAAAATAATAATATTAATAATATAATAATTTGTAAACCCTAAATGAAATATGTTTTCTTCTTCTTCTTCTCATGTTTCTAGTAAATGTTATTAGGTCAGGCACACATGGGCAGTCATGGGGCACCTAAAATCATGAACGGACAGCCTAACATTCTCCATTGTTTGTACTGTTTACCTATTATGACCATACAGCCCATTGCACAATCACAATGGCAATATTGTAATTGATGACCTCCTAGTATTAAATATTAAATTAATTTGATACCTAGAAATATATATATATATATATATAATTGATATTATATAAACAATATACTATAAATTGAGACAACATGGGTGAGGAATGAAAATAACAACAAAAACGTTATGGGAAATTGTGTATTTTTATAATTAAATAACCGTAAAATTTAAACATTATTAATAAAAAATAAAAATTTATGTTAAATTACTTCTATATTTTTAAAATTTATAATTATTTTAATAATTATATGAACATGATTATATTTAAAATGAAGTTAAATTAAAGTCTTAGATAAAACTAAAATTGTTTACTTTTGAGTTCTACCTTTGTAAAATTTATTGTACTTGTTATAACCTAGTGAGAATAAGCAAAACATAGTGGAGGGTTATAGTTTTGCTAGTTCTCCCTTCTAACAATAGAAAAAATTGTCCTTTCCTAAATTTAAGCTATATTTCTCTAGCTTCCTAGATGTCACATGAAATGTTAGAGAAAACCATCATTGCCGGTTCATACACGTAGTTATGATGTGCTTTAGCCTTAATATACTATTAAATAAATATGTTATCAGAAATATTAATTTTTTTTAATATTTTTGGTAAAACAATACTTAAAATATTATTTTTCTACTGGAAATATTAATTTCGTTCCCTAATTCCCGGTAAAAAAATAACATTTTAGGTATAGCTCAATATTAACATCTTCGGTAGAAAAATAATGTTTTAGGTAACACTTTACTTGAAATGTTAAAAAATATTAACATTTCCGGTATCATATTTCTTTAATTGTATATTAAGGTTGCAGCATCTTAGACATCCCCAGTGCGTACGGTGGACAATTCATAATTTTGATTGTCGGAGGTATTCCACAGAAGCTGCTCTCAACCTGGCGTTGGGGGCAGCCTACTACCTTACCTCCCCCTCACCCCATTACATATGTGAATATGGTCAGCTAATTTTTTTTATATATTTATAAATAAAACCTAACTAATTGTATTTAAAACATTTAAAAATAATATTTTATTTTATCATTAAAATTACTTGATGAATTCTATTATTAATTTTTTAACTAAATTTTTTTTCTAAAACTAGAGTTTATTATGCCAAAAATAATGCCTCATTGCACCTTTTGTTTTGAAAAGAAATGTACATATTATATAAATATGGAGGTGCATAGTTTAAACTATATATACAATAACATATAATACCATTTAACCACTAAATAGTTGGATCATCAATAAAAATAGTGGATATTTAAATTTAAACTATTTTGAGATGGTTAGATCCATTTTTATTTCATCACCTTAAACAATTACATGTGAAGTGTTTAGTGGTTCATGATTGACATTTAATCTTTGTTCTTATCAAGGATTTAATAAAAAAAATGATTAATTTAGGATAAGTATAAGGTACCAACCGTTTGACCGAACACTCATATTTTTTATATTCATGGTGCTCATATTTTTTTTGTTTATGAAAAAAAATCTGAAATTTTAAGGAATTACAACAACTCATTTACTATCAATATTGCTTGGTTCATTCATGATTTAATAAAAAAAATTGAAAAACAATAACTGGATTTCATTAATAAAAATAATAGAAGAAATTGAAATTACAACGCACCAAATAGAAAATTGAGGACAATAGTCACAAAAAAGTTCATACATAAAATAAAATATTTAACTCAAAGATACGAAAAAAAAGAAACCTTTCCATCATCAGAAAACCCAATAATGTTCATGGAACTCATTGTCTCTGTCGAATGAGACGATTTAAGAAAAGGAATGGTGAGCGAACCAAACAATTTGGTAAACTATTTTGCAACACAATTCTTATTATATCGACAAACAACCTTTTACATAAGAGGAATATGACAATACGTGATCACCGACAAATCAATCAGAAAACAAATGTCGTGAGGATCTTTGTGCGAGAACAGACACGAATGCAAATGTATGCGAAAAACGAATCAGAAGTCATAAGGAACGTGCCACAAGAGCATAGAAAAACGTATCATAATGACAGAGCATAGAAAAACGTATCATAATGACAGAGATTCTTATTTAAAGCTGAAAAAATTAGGAAAGAAAAATAATAAATCATCGGCGATTGACAATTAATACTAAGAATACCGTCGCAGTCGACTAAAATAAAATCAAAGAAAAAGAAGGCGGCAATTATTTTAAAAAGAAAATAGGTAGAAAAAAAAAGGACAAAATCTCTAACAAACCTAAGATAAATTTAGATATAAAAATTATGAGTTTATTTAGATATGAATGGAAGATTGAAGAATTATGATTAATGGACAAAAGTAAATGGAATTATTAATTT